CCGATTGCTTGACGGCAGATGCGCGCTGCTCGTCAGGTTGCAGACGTACTGTGGTCTGACAGGCGGACGAGCATGCTCTGGGGCTCAGCTGCACCTCTTCATCATGTCTGGGTCGGCGGGCCAAGCATCGCTAATTCCAAGGATCTGCAGGCAAGATGTGCCTTCGTCGCAAGGTGGATCGGACTCTAACCCCAGCCTTCTGCCAGGCCGTCCGTCCAGGGCGCACGACAAAGCCGCTAAGATCCCGTCCTGTGCCTTACCAACCCCTCCTCGTGCATTTGCGACGCAATCGTGAGTTCGTTCTAATCCCGCTCTCCTGCATCGACACCTGCTCCTCTGCCTTCATACCCGGGTCTTGCACAGTCTAGCTGCATCGCCACAAGAGCCGCATCCTGCCGTTCCTACTCGAGCCCTTGTGCGCATCGAGTCTTGCGTCAAAGAGGGGCCAATCTCCCCGCCACCTGAGGCATCCCATCCCGCGCCTTATCATACCCAGCCCAAAGTCCGAGTATCCGTGGTTGCTCAACCCTCACCACCGGTACACCTTTGGGCGACACCAACTTGACGATTTTACGACGCAACGATCGATTTTAACACGACCTCGTAGATTTTCTTTGACCTTGCTCGCTGGGCGCTGACTCCGGATGTTGTTGCAACGCCGCCCTCTATTCGTCATCATATCGTTTCAGCCTTCCCACATCCGCTCCAGGAAGGGACCACCCGCAGTATCATACTGATTGCGCCGCTCGAGGCAACCCGCCTGGGACCTGCGCCTGCATTAACTCTCCAGTCTTACATCACCGGCGCTACCAAAGCGAGCTCTGTCGTGCAGGTTGTAAGCTATACGCGCTCGTCTCTGTAGACCTGCGCGGCTCACTCAGCACGACACGGAACAAGAGGTGGCTATCGGTAGACTGCTGGTCACCGCTTCTTCCAACATGTCTACTTTCCAAGCAGTCAACACCACATTGTCGGTCCCAGATGCGCCACAGGGCCGCCCGGGTGACGAGACGACGCCAACTACTCCTCGACCGAACAGCAGGTTCTTTGCCGAATCGAAAGCGACCGAAGAGATCCGTGCCGAAGACCCATCGGCTAAGACACCTACACGCAACACCTTTGCGGGACTTGTTGGTCAGCGACCACTGCCCTCGTCGCCGTTTACACCCGGCCGCGAGCTGAGCGAGACACCTTCAGCTTCGAACAAGAGCGAACAAAGTAGAGAGGACTCGCATAGGCCAACAACCTCTGGACAAGACGTGCATATGGGTGATGGGGATGATGACGAGAAAGACGGGTCGGACAACGATAGCGTAACCAGCGATTCCAACCGGCCGTCTAAAAAGAAGAAAGGACAACGCTTCTTTTGTACCGACTTTCCGCCGTGCAATCTAAGCTTCACGAGAAGTGAGCATCTGGCACGACACATTCGGTACGTAGCTCACTATGCGGCACGCTACATTGCTAACACACTACAGTAAGCATACTGGTGAAAGACCCTTCCAATGTCACTGTTCCCGGCGATTCTCGCGACTCGACAACCTCCGACAACATGCCCAAACAGTTCACGTCAATGAAGACATACCTTCGGAATCGCTAGCTGCAACGGGTACGAGGTTCCAAAGGCAGATCCGGACCGACAGAGTAAGACCACCTGGAAACCGATCTCGAGCGAACACACTAGGCAGCACAGGTGGCCATAGCAGAGGCCACAGCAGAAACCTCTCAGCTTCAAGCATAATCTCTACCGCTTCGACCATGAGCGCGGCACCTTCTCCCGACATTCGACGTAGGCCACCACCTTTGGCCATGGCTAGTGATGGTGGTGCTAGCGCGAGGGCTCGCCTGTCACTAAATACCATGAACGCGTATGACCCACCGATGATGGGCTCTCCTGGGCCTGTCGAGTATGACACGCAGTCCAACGCGCCTACAACGCCCACATCCGCTACCTTCTCGACAGTTACTGGCAGCCCCGCTCGCTACGGGTCCACTATACAGTCTCCGGTTTCGTCTTCGTCTAGGCCAGTCTCATGGGCCGGACCACCCCTTCCAGGACGTCGAGAGTCCATCTCGTCCAGTGGTAATCCTTTCTCTGGACCACCAGGACAGGGTCCTTCTACGTACATCACGCCTCTGCAGTCGACTGCCGCACCCAGCTATTCAGCCCAAAGCAGCGCATATGCGAGTCCAACAGCATCTCAATTCTCAGAGTCGAGGAGAGATTCAAACGCAGATGCGGACTGGAGGCGACGTACGTGGCATCCAGGAACCTGGGGGCATACTGGGCCTCGCCCAGCGACCAGTGGGCTTGGTTATCACCAGACGCCAGACGCGGATCGGCCCACGTTTACTTCAATTCCGGCCGCTTCTCAAACTACCCGTCTTCCGGGAATTGAAAGCTTCGACCATGCACCCCCTCCGCTTCCTCGACGCCAGCCAAGTCCAATGCAAGTAGACGCCCCAGCTCGTCCACTGACATATCACGCGCCGATGGAGCACCCGCCTCCGCCTCACAGGGGTCACCACAAAAGAACTAGTATTTCTTGGGAAATTGACCGTCTGAACATTGCTGGCCCAAGTTCTCAGAGAGAACCACAATGGTCGCAACCATACCCTGGCAGTGCCGGACGAGCGAATGCTACACGTCCTACGACCGCTCATGGGTACTTTAGTCGGCAACCTTCTAACGTTCAGCCAATCCAGATCCCTTCCATCAACGCTTCGCCCAGGACTTCGCAAGAACAGCCTACGACGCCCCGAAAGAACAAGCGACAGGCGTGGTATAACGGACCTGTCAGTCAACCACAAAGAGCTATGCAGAGAACGTCCCCTGAAGATAGTAGCAGTAGTGAAGGCGTTCCCACTCCAGGGACGATTTGGGAACATCATCCGAACATTGTGGGCAGCAATGGATACGTCGAAACGCCAGTCGTCGAAGATTACAAGTCGCAAGCATCAATTATGGAAAGGCCGCATCCATTACAATCGCAACCACACCATTATCATAGCCACAGCCTCTCCAACTCGAGCTCAAGCTATCGACCGCAACGAGAACCCGAGCGGGGACCCGCAACGTTCGGTCAGCCGCTACCGCAGCAGACAGCCAACAATGACATGAGACGCTTGGAAGCGCTTGTTGCTGTCGCCACTGGCGAGCAAGCCGTGGAGAACCGCTCTTAGGGTAGGTCAGCTGATTGCTTCCTCACCGCCTTTACATTACACATCGCCATCATCAATTTACGTCGAGTTTTTCAAAGCACACCCACGATGTCACGACCTCGAAGAACAATAACGAATCTCCTATGATTTACGCAATGATACACATGTCTGGTGTTTTACCTCCAGTTCCGCATGACAATCTCTCGGTCTTTTGCTTTGTTTCCCTTGCCTTCACTTCAGATATCGCCGACCAGGTGAGGGCTCTTGTTGTCGCTTTCCATATGATACCAATCGGAGCTTCTGCTCGAACTTCCTTGGGATACCCCGATCCGGCATATGTCATTTTCCCTTTGTTTTGCTTGCCTTTGTGCATATGACGTTTTTGCTTTCGTTTTAGGGATATACCAAATCGAACAGCGGGTGTCTGGAGTTTTTTGTTAGGATCGCTTTCTATTTTTACATGACGACTCTCTATTAGGATGTGCTGTTGTGCTGCTTTTGGTGGGACGGGTCACTGATGATGAACATTGGTAATGGATAGAAGCTGGAAGGGTCAATAGTTGTCCTTGGACATTCTTAACATGATTGTATATGCTTTCTCAGATGATTGTGGCCTCGTGTGCTTTCTTGTGACTTGCTCCGACAGATGCCTTGAGACAGGCGATGATTTATCATATAAGTCGCAAAGAGCACTTTGTTGCTGGTATCAACAACTAGGTCGGGAAGTACTACGTGGTTCGAGCGACGCTTGTACGCCTCCTTACCAAGGACAAAATGTTTAGAGAAGTTTGGCAACCCGAGGCGCTTGAGCGCGTTGCTGATCTTGAAGCTGGAGGTGATGCTGAGGAGACAGTTGAGCGCGCTGCTGACCTTGAAGCTGATGTAGAAGTGGAAGGCGATGCCTTTGAGCGCACTGATGAGACCACCGAGCGTGTGGCAGATACTGATGATGGTAACAATGGTTGGGAGGCGGTTAAGCGCTCTGGTGACATTGAAGTTGGTGTTGCAGCTACTATAGATGCTGCGAGGGAAGTGGTTGGAATTGGCGGGACTGAAGCTGCGGCAGAGCTTGCAACTGGCGCCGCATGTGATCTTGAGGAACTTGCAGTACAGAGTTGGCGGATGCCTGGTTGATTGATCGGTCGTTTCGTGGTGGCATTGTTGAGAGTCTTGAGACTTGACAGCGAGAAGGAAAGGCTGAGAGAGAGACTGAAACGAGGCTAAGGGAGAGATATAGAACGAAGACTGAGAGAGAGATTGTGTGCGCGTGAGAACAAAGGTCAGGCGAGAGGTTGTAGAAGCTTGTGTGGAGAGGTTTATTAGTGGGACTTGTACTCGCATGCCACAACGAGGCAGGAGCGACCCTGCAACTCTCGAATATTCAAGAGAATGGAGTCTAGTTAGCTATTTCTGCAATCGATGGCGATAATAAGCGCAGCAACATTGTTAGGAGAAGAAGCCAACGTGGTTGCTTGTCTTGAGGGAGTAGTCTTGTAGAGAAACTCGCGGTCTCAAGGAAGGACTGGCGATAGATGGGAGATTCTAGGAGGCGATGATAAGATACACCTGTGAGTGCTTAGTAACTCAGTTGTGGTTAAACCGTCTCATACAGTACGTTGTGTCCAACGTGGTGGCGGCGCATTGTTGTCGGGGCAACATACAATCCAGGACAGGAGAGGACAAAGCGCGTTCTAGCGTATCATGCCACATGCAAACCCCGCGTACCCTGACTTGGTATACACATCCGCTTGCAGCAACAACGACAGCAGGCACTGTACCTGTGTTTCTGATACCCTCTTTTTTCTTCTTCTTTCTTTGTGATACCCCCACTCGGCGCCATGGCTTCCGACGACGTTACCGACTTTGAGGTGATAGAAGGCCAGAAGGAAAACATCCAGTCCATTCCCAGCGGACGCTCCGCAAAAGCGCTCGCGCAGCTATACACACCACCACTTACTTCCGGCGCTGGTCAGACGCTGTCCCCTTCGCAGATGCAGGATGCGAACAGCGCGGCCCGCCTCAAGTTCGAGAAGGAGCTCATGGCGATTGACGACTCAGACGACCCGCTAGACGTTTACGATCGTTATGTCAAATGGACACTCGACTCCTACCCTTCCGCACAAAATACACCTCAATCGCAACTCTGCCCTCTGCTCGAGCGCGCGACCAAAGCCTTCCAATCCTCGCCGCAGTACAAGAACGACGCCCGCTACCTCAAGCTGTGGCTGCACTACATCCATCTCTTCTCAGATGCGCCGCGCGAGACATTCGCATACCTTGCGCGACACAACATCGGCGAGAACCTTGCGCTATTCTACGAAGAATTTGCCGCCTGGTTAGAAGGCGCGGGTCGCTTCACACAAGCAGAGGAGATATACAACTTGGGCATTGACCGCGAGGCCCGTCCAGTAGAGCGCCTGATTCGCAAGTACGGAGAATTCCAGCATCGCCTCGAGAGCCGCCCGCAAGAGGTTCCCGAGCCTTCAAGCCCCGCGCTCCCCGCCGTCCGTCCAGCTCTCGCCGCTAAGATGGACCCTTTTGCGCATGCATCACCGAGTGCGCCGAGCCCACAACCACAAAGTGCGCCAAAACCTGCTGGAGGCGCTTCTCGTTCGGGGAAGGCTAAGCTCGCCATCTTTTCCGATGGCGACGATGCCGCGAGGCCCGGCTCGACTGGTAGCATGGAAGGATGGGATAGCATTGGATCGCTCGCAGACCGCAAGAAGGAGAATGCAACGGAAGCACGGCCCTGGGCTGGTGAGACTCTGAAGGTCGGAAAGAAGAACACGGGCGTGCCAAAGATGTCAATCTTCAAGGATGAGGTGAGTTGATCTGCCTACATCAGCCCCTTCATATATTTACGGTCACAGGACTAATTGGTGGGCGTTTGCCATACATGTATTCAGACCAAATCAAATCCAAATGACGAGAATGTCAGCCCCCATCCATTGCGTGAACATCAGCAAGCAGTAAATCCAAGAACAGGCAGACTTGAGGTAGTTTTTGTAGATTTGGAGCAGGTTTACCCTAACCATGAAGATCCGATGTCAGAGGAATACTCATTTGAGGAACTTCGAGCTAAATACAGGGGATGGATGGACCACGATTGGGATGCTATCCGCCGCAAGGAACAGAAGCAGGCAAGGAAAGCAGCCGAGGAGGCAGAAGCTGCTGCAAGACCAAAGCCAAAGGCCGCGCCTCTGGCGCCCAAACAGGATTACGAACAGCCTCCTAAACCCAAGACCGTGCCACTGAAAGGTAGCGTTGACGATGATATGAACAACGACGAAAATGCGCCGCCTTCGCAGGCTGATGTAGACAAGGCACGGGCTGCTAAGAAGGCGAGACGAGAGGAGCGTGCCAACAGGACTAGGAAAATCAAGGTCATGGAGGTGAAGGAAGTTCGCGGCGAGACTCAGACAAGTGAGTGTTTGATTGGCAAGACACTTGCACTTACATACTGACATGTCTTAGTCCAAGCCAACCTAGATTCTCCAGCGAAGCCCAAAATCCGGCGAAAGAAGACAGGCCCGGAGACCACAATGACCCTCCACACCAAAGAAGCAATGGAAGAGATCTACGACATATTCAACGAACCACTCAAGAACGCCGACGAGAACACTTCCGAGAATCAGAGTGGTGATGAAAGCAGCGGTGACGATGAGGACGACTACACGAGTGGTGCCGAAAGTACGGCAACCGGTCGCATATCGGGCGCTACGAGCGAGTTTGGGGATGAGACAACAGCTGGCGATTTCACACTCGGCACCAGGGTACTGGATGTTGACGCTGAGGATGAAAGCGATTCCGACGCTTCAGATACCAAGAGTGCTTCTGCGTGGTCTGACTTTACTGAGAGCAAGCACGTGCCCAAGGATGGTCAAGAGGATGAATCAGATGATGAGTCTGAGCAATCCGATCAGTCTCAGAACGATTCTTTTAACGAGGTAACACGCGCAGATGTCGAAGTGGAACAGCAGCAAGATTCTGACGTCGTCACTCCGACCTCGCCCTCCGCGCCCACATCGCTACCTACCCGCTTCGTTCCAGTTCCACCAGAAGACTACGTTCCAGCTATGCAGCCCTACCGAGACCCAGCCCAGGCTGCTAACAACCGCCTGCCGTTCATGACGCCCATCGTCGAGAAGACGGAATCATCCCTAGGCATCGCTACTGCTTATGCGAACAAGGACTACTTTACTCCTGCGACCAAGACACCATCGCGATCGAAAGGTACCACCGATATTCTTGAAGACGACGATGACGATGATGATACTTGCGGTAGCGCCTTTTCAGATATTTTGAGTCAGGTTATTGATGGCTCAGGGAAAGTTGCGAAGCTCGCCCTGACAGAATCGAAACCAGTACCTAAAGAGTCCATGGCCGAACCACAACGGAAGCCGTTGGCTGCGAAAGAGGTTGCGCCAAAACTAGTAAAGCCGAATGGTCCAATTATTCAGGATGCACAGTGCAATCCCGTCGACGAGAACATCCGCAAGGTCATCCTACAAGAAATCCAACCACCGCTTGATAGCTACGATGGCTACTACGCAGACACCGAGGAGAGCTACGGAAAAGGAGCCGATATCCGCAAGTACACTAAGGCTCTGAAATCTGGCAAGGGCGCGAACGATAAGACGGCCAACCTTGCAGTCTGCCCGACCTTGAAGTTTCCCACAACTCAACGGACATACGCTGTCAAACGCGAGCTTGGGAAAGGTGCTTTCGCTCCAGTGTACCTGGTTGAAAGTCGAGACCCCGACGAGGACGACGATGAGAACAAACCTTCCCAGATGGGCAAGGGCGAGTTCGGTTTGAAGCGCAAGAATCTGGAAGCTATCAAGATGGAAGATCCACCAACTCCATGGGAATTTTACATCATGCGGCAAGCCAAGCGACGGCTAGGCGTATCCAGGGCGGCGGATTCTATTGTTCACGCGTACGAGATGCACGTCTTCAAAGATGAATGCTATCTCGTCGAAGAATTTAGAGATCAAGGAACGCTGCTCGACCTTGTAAACCTTTCTCGCGGAGATAACGGCGTCATGGACGAACAGTTGGCCATGTTCTTTACTGTCGAGTTGTTCCGCACAGTCGAGGCGCTTCACTCCAAGGGAGTCATCCACGGCGATCTGAAAAGCGACAACATTCTTGTCCGGTTCGACACGTTACAAAAGGACGAGCACTGGGATTCGGAGTACAAGCGTGATGGGCGCGATGGCTGGTCTGCGAAGGGTGTCTCACTCATCGACTTTGGTCGCGGTATCGACATGAAGGCGTTCAAGCCAGATGTGCAGTTCATCGCCGACTGGCCTACCACTGAAGCCGACTGCGCCGAGATGCGGGAACTCCGCCCGTGGACATACCAGATCGACTACCACGGTCTCGCTGGAATTGTTCACAACCTCTTATTCGGAAAATACATCTCTACGATCGCTGAGCGTGGCGCGACACTTGGTGCCGGAGCGACGAAGACGTACAAGATCAAGGAGAGTTTGAAGAGATATTGGCAGACCGACATCTGGCATGCCTGTCTTGATTTACTATTGAACCCACTCATGCACCTTGAGGGTGAAGAGGGGAACAAATTGCCGGTACTGAAGGGTATGAAAGAGGTGAGGGAGAAGATGGAAGAGTATCTTGAGAACAACTGTGAGAAGGGCGTTGGATTGAAGACTCTTATCAGGCGCATGGAGGATGCAGTGAAGAAGAGGTGATGGGGCTTGCTTTTGTGCTCATTTGTATGATGTTTGGAGTTTTGGGAGGTTGTTATTGTAGGGTTTGGATAGATGATACCACTGGGAATGACGAATGGATTCGAAATGCCTGCTTGTACACTCATACTTTGCCGAGAGTGTCTACACAGGCTCTTCGCTGGTTCGTAACTCGCACTAATAAACATCCATAGGGCTATTGACCTAATCGGGGAAACTGAAATATTAGTAGTCCGGCTTGTAGGCATGCTGCTTGATGGCTCTTGCATCTTCATACTGCTCCCATAGTCGCCTCCAGTCACACGGTTCGTCGTTCTTTCCTCCCAACAGGCTCACTCACTTCGACACGTCCTTTGACAGTATCGTTCCTTCCGCCACGCACTGAGCTAGACGCATACGATAAGAAGCCAGCAATGCCACCTGAACTTCCACTCTTCATCCACCAACAATTTACACAAGACACTCCTAGCTTCCAGCAGCATACTTTGAGCCTTCCTACCACCTCTCACCTCCGCCTACTAACTCCGATTACCTGCTCGCCGCATCGTCAGCCTAGTATGTTTTCGGTTCACCACAAGGCCTCCTCCTTGCTCCACACGATGCTCGTCACCGGCATCATCCTGATCCCGACCGCCATCGCCACACCCGCCGCGGTGCAGGACCTTACCGATATGCGCAGTGTCGTCGATGCAGCAGCAAGTGCTATCGGAAATCCGAACAACCCCAATCGAGGCTTTGGCTTCAACCTCTTCGGCGGCAGCGGTCAGATGGGTACTGCCGACCTCGTCAACAACATCACCAACACTATCCTCCGAGCAAAGTACCAACTAGACACGAACAGGGTAGGTGTCTTGACCGCTACCTCCAGCATTCTGATAGCCAGCACTAACAAGCACCAACAACAGACATCATGGCTCCTGCCCAGCAACTCGACCCTCAACGGCACCCTACCCACCTCCAGTGTGCCCACACTCGCAACCCCCACGCTCCCCCTAACAGCCAGCCTCGCTCTGCCAACCAGCATCCCCACAACAACACCCACGCTCGACAACCTCACCATCGACCTCACGGCCCCCTACATGGAATACGTGCAATCCATGCCCAACCTAGCCAACAGTCTGATAACCCTCGGCCGGTCCTACCACCGCGAAATGAACAGCCCCGTCAACGAAGCCGTCGCCGGTCTCCAGCAAAGCCTCACTACCTTCCAGACTGCACTGCTCGAAAGCGAGCTCATCAGCGCTCAGGCTGTTATACGCACCATACGTGCGAGTAGTAGTCTGGAGAGTGCGGCGACGGCTTGGAGTCGCTTTCTTAATCTACCCGGTGGTGGTGGTGATGACGACGATGATGGTGACGCGGGACCTGTCTCTCCGTCGTTGCCTGCCGTGCCGGGAGTGGGAGGTCGGAGTGTCTTGGGCAGAGCAGAGGCGAAGAGGCCTCCGCCTGGGAATGGCAGGTTCTATAGCCATCTTGAGTTGTGGAATCGGTCGGAGCCTAGGGCAAGAGTGTCGACGGAGGGCAAGTTCTCGCCGCATGATCTTGTTGTGCAGGCTGAGGAGAAGCGTGTGAGTACTACTGCTGCGGAGAAGGCGAGAGTGGGAAGGCCTTTTGTTGTTTGAGTTGGCACCTCTTTTTCTTGTACTTTCTTCCTCCTTTCAATGTATCATGATGTGAACAAGCTCTGTCCTTCCCAAGTTTCTTCACGTCGCCAATCCACTCTTCTCACCATGCTCGTTACACAAATACAAAAGCGCACCACACACACACAAAGCACGCAACCAAGTTACAACAATCGAAAAAAAGTATGCTTCGATAATAATAAAGCTAAGCTAAGATGAGTGTGGCGGGGGATATCTTCGAAAGCCAGTATGCAACGCAGAGACCAAACAAACAGCGAACAACAAGATTGAAAACCAAAAAAGAACCAAGCTAAAGCGCCATTCCAGCGCTCAACAAAGATCCATAACCTCATGACTTGACTGTGACTTGTGACTAGAGGAAAATCCTCCGAAAACACCAGTCTCCTTCCTTCATCCCATCGCTCGTTTCTTGCTTCTTTCCAAAAGAGATACTCATGCCTCTTCCCTCTTCGCTTTCTTGAGTCATGATGATATGTATGGATTCATACCCGACCAGACCAGACCCATTTCCACAGGTCGCCTGGTACAAAAACGCTTGAGGAAACAAAGAACATCTCCGTCTCATTACAAATCCCTTGCATTGAAGTGAAAAGAAGCATATTCACATACAGGCAGGCAAGCTTGCGCTCTCTGTTTAAACCAAAACCCATTCACTGCCTCTCTTGATGAATTTATCCAACATCATGGTGACGTCGGTGAGGACGAAGCGGCAGATGTAGAAGCCGAAGAACTCTGCGGCGTGGCGAGTTGATAGCTCGAGACCGACGTGGGTGGGGGAGGAATGCTTGAGACCGGGGTCTTCGACTTGGCGGGCGATTTGGTCTAGAGCGTTGTTAGTCAATCCAGATTGATGATGAGAGATGATGTAAAAAAAGACATACCCAATATTTGGACCGCATCGAATAACCTAGCCAAAGAACCCATGTACCCTGCATTAGGCCCCTCAAACACAACACCGGAAATGTCTCGCTTTGCGAAGCGGATGCTGGGGAGGTTGGTCATGGGAAGCGTGGACATGATCAGAGTGTCCTTGGGCACTTCTGCACTCTTGGCACCACCAGCCATGCCCGCGAGGTTAACGCCCGAGTTCTTCGATCGGAGTTTCCGCCACGAAGCAAGGTATGATTTGCCCTGGGCAACAGCACCCTTGTGTTGGTGGTCCACGGAGCCATGCCTGCCGGAGGCGTCTGTTGACGATGCACCTTCGCCGACAGTGGTCGCATCTCTGAACAGTGCGGTTACGGATTGTACACCGACTTCGTTGCCTAATTTCTTTGCTAGCTGGGCTTGCACCTGGTCGAGCACTAGTTCCAAAGACTGCATCTCTTCTAGGACAGCATCCGCGTCGTTTGTATCCACAGACGCTAGCTTTTGAAGCGCTGCTGTGAGCATGTCGCAGTTGGCGATCTTGTCCTCGATGTTCTTTAGCTTGACGCCCTTTACTCGCCAGACATCGCGGGGAATAAAGAGTTTAGTGGAGAGATAGCCACCGCGGGGATGCGCGATAGTCTGGTAGAAGCATCGCATTAACCAGAACGGTCTCAGGAGGTACGAATCCGGACATGGCTCCAGAGGGATCGGGGCGTTCGTGATGGCTGGGCTTGGCGAACCGGGCGAGAACGGTGAGTGGATATCACTCTCGAACAAGTGCATCCCTCCACTCGGTAGACCGTCGACGTTGAATGTGGGGACGCTGGGTGTTGGCATTGCCAGGCTGACATTGCTGGGTTTCCTGCCCGTAATGGAAAAGGTCGTGCTCAGTGGCGTTCCTATAGATGCATCTGAGCCATCTGGGCTGGATATTGACAAGTTGCGCTGTTTCAGGCTGAGGGAGGACTTGTTCTTCCTGATTCCCATCGCTGAGGTTTTCCCGGTCTTTGGCGAACCTGGCACAAGACCAGCCTCGTTGGAAACAGCATGGCCGAGGGCGGGCGTCGCGGGTGAAACCGTGGCAGCAGTTTCGGCGGGACTGTAGAGGGTGGGCTGAGGTGATGGAGCTCGAAGACCAGATTGTTGGGACGCTTGCGGCAGCGCGGGAAGCTTGAACGCGGAGTCTAGGGTAGGCTTGGTGGTGCTGAATGTTGGTGCCGCCGACTTGGGTTGGACAGGGAGGTCGGTAGGCGCATCCTTAGCTGGCACCGGAGGCTTCTCCGTGTGAGGTGCAGGCGGGACAGGCGGTACAGAAGTCTCTATTTTCAAAGACTTTGCATTTTGTCCCGATAACCTTCGACTTCGTACTGAGGCTGCGTCCTTGGTTGCAGTAGTGGGCCGTGGTGTGGTTTCTGCGGTGTCGATCGTTTGCGGTGCTTGTGACTCGGGAACCGTAGGCAAGGCAGGCAGAGCGCCAGATGGAGCAGGCACCGCGGGCGGGGAATGAGCGGGTGGTTGCTTGGATGTCGGGTGCATCAACTCTGCAACGGTCGAGAGTGACGTACCACCCGTTGTTCTGTGTGACGACACGGAGCTGTTGTACGCGCTTCCAGAAAAGCCACTCGAGTCTGACTGCCGCGGTAACGAAGACTTTGTCTGCAGATCGAAATCAAACCCATCCAGCATGTACTCTCGCGTCATCTCGTCTAGTAACCGCTCTTCCTCTTCCGCCTCGTCGTTGAACCTGATCTCGGCGCTTTCACGCACATGCGGAAGGCCCTCGCCTCGGAGCTGCGTCTCTTTGTAACGATACTTGGCCGCGGCAATAGCCTCTTCGCGTTCCGCCTCCCGCACGCGCTCCTTGGCCAGTTCCACGTTACGCAACTTAGTCGCTATTAAATCGCCGGGTGTAGAAATGTCGTCATCATAAGGTTCATATCCATCGTCGTACGCAGCTTCGACGGCTGCATCAAGCGCCGCGTCAAACTCTGCCTCGGTTCCTCCGCTGTTATTTCGTATATGTTTTCGGCGCACTCCCCCGGGAGACATGGAATGGACCGAAGAAGAGCACGATGATCCACCAGACTCATCAATAGTGTCAAGCCATGATGTTGACTCGTTGCTATGAACTCGCTGGTGATTTGACTTGACGGGCTGCTGTGGTCGTAATAACCGGCCATACTCCTCGGGCTCAGACTCCTTACCGCTGAGGAGAGGAGATTTGGACCGCTTTGGGGAGAGCGGTGGGGGCATATATACGCGGTCCATCATCGATTCGGCAGTCGATGATCGGGCAGATGTGGTAGAAGGTGCGATTCGCCCAGGTGGGGGCTGTAGGTTGAATTGCGGGTTCTGCATGCCTCTTTGCACATCGCGGATGGCGGTGGAAATGACCGACTCACGAGGACCGTCGGATCCCTTGCGGAGAGGCAGCTGCTGGTTGGGCGGCGGTGTAGGCTCGGCGGCTGGAGGGGTATCATATATAGAACG